GAAAGCTCTTCTTAGAGCACTGCGTAGGGAGCCCTAGGCACTGCGTGTCCAGAGCAGGGGGCAGCGCTCCACAGAGGACAGGGTGGAGGGCCACGGGGAGCCAACTGCTTGGGGCACTGGGGACTCTGTATGTCCATGCTGGGCCTGGGAGGGGCCTTGGGACATGTTTCTTCTGCAGGTGCACCATTTCGCTGACTCCTGGTCCTAGGGCCGGTTGGGGTCTTATATGTGGAATATTCGGACACCCTTCTGTTTGGGGCCTTTGTTGTTTGCAGGGAGGTTCCCTAAGTAGGCCAACCTCCACCCCAGAGTCTGCTTCCATGGCAGCCTGGCCTGCAGCAGTGGGCACCCAGATATTTGTTGAATGAATGTACTGGACATGTTCTGTGTGCGTGCTTTCGTGTGAATGCATATATCTGTGTGTGCAAGTGTGCACATATACACGCATGCAAATATGTACATGTGACTGCATGCATGTACATGCACGTGTGTGCATGTTGCCTAATCCCCCTGTCTGACAAAGTCTGGGTCCCCAAATAGAAGGAACTGGTGAACACCTCATGGCACAAGCGTGTCCCTGTTTTATTTATCCTGGAAATCCTGTGGCTCTAGTAAGGATTTCAAATATGAAGAGAGCCCCCACCTCCTGGGAAATGCAGGCGCAGGAAGCCTTCAGCATCTGACATCTTATTTCCAAATGGCTAATCCCACGGCAGCCAGCCTGGCCCGAGGAGAGGCGATCTCACAGCACATCTCTGGCGTGGAAGTGATGTGAAGATTGATCAAGGAGTATTGTTTCTTGAATTAAGCTTTGTAGAAATAAAAGTGGCCTGTCAGAGCCCAGCTTATTACAAATTCTCAAGAAAATACAGACAAAGATTGGCAAATTCATCTTGGAGCTCCAGGCAGAAGGGAGGTTTCTGCCACAGGCTTTGTCCTGCACCCACAACCCCCAGGCGTTCTCTGTGGGGGGCTGGGAAAGGGCAGTCTGGGAGGGAGCTGATCTCAGAGAGAGGGACAGGCCGATTTCACCTGGACTCAGAAGCACACAGTGATCAGGGCCACATCCTCACTTCCCACAGCACGGTCCTGAGGGCTCCATCTCTGGACTCCCATCGGGGGCAGCCCCGGGCCCTCCCAGGCAGACGAAGCTGTCCAAAGTCCACGCCCATTGCGCCAGTCAACCAATACCATTAGTGTGGCCAACCAACGATGCCCCAGACCCCAAGGCCCTGCCCTGGGCATCTGTCTAGCTGTGTCCTCAGGAAGTTGCAAGTCCAGCTGGAAAGCCCAGTGAGTAGGGCGGTGAGGTCCAGGGGACTTTGCAGGCAAGGAGAAAGGTGGCCAAGTCGCGTTGGGTGCAGAGACTTTCCTGGAGGAGGGCAGCTCTCAGGGCATAGCTCCTGGGCATGATGCCGCTTGTATGGGGTGGAAATGGTGGTGGGATGACAAGAGAGGATGAGACACGTTTTGGGGGCAGGGGACATCCAGGAGGCTAGTGTGTTTGCAATGCAGGAGGCACTGCTGAGGTGTCGGCCTACAGAGGTGCTAGGGCTCTGAGAGGGTCTTTACCCCAGGCTGCTCCATCCAACACCAGCTCACTCTCTCACACCTCAGCATGGCGTGGGGGCACACCGGGTCCTCCCAGCGCTGGGCGTCAGCCTGCTGGCTGCAGCACACTGTCAACTGCTGGTCAGCCTTACCCCACATGGTCCCTCTTCCTGCCACTAACATTCTGTTTTCCAGGGAAAGGATTTTTATTGCAGAGGATGGTACAATAGCTTTTTAAAAATACACAAACATAGGGTAGGTTTCATGATTAAACTACACTCTGGATTTTAAAGTGCAAGTTTTGCCATGGGTTGAATGTAGAAGATCAGCCCTTCTGGTTACTCCTGCTGTTATAAACCACTTAAATCTTAGTGTCTTAAATCAGCAACACCCATTTGTCGTTCTCAGGAACCTGCGGTTTGGGCAGGGAGCAGTGGGAGGGCTCATCTGTGCTCTGTGCAGCGTCAGCCAGGCGGACTCAGCATGGGTGGAGGACTCACTTTCCAGACGGTGCACTCGCAGACTGACCAGCTGAGCCGTGGGAAGCTCAGCCAGGGCTGTGAAGCAAGGGCTGCAGCTCTTTTCCATGTGGGCCTGTCCTTGGGGAGCTTGGGCTTCCTAACAGCATGGTGGCTGGTTTCCAAGAACAAGTGTCTGAAGAGAACAAAGCATGGAAACTTTATGACCTAACCTTAACTCACAGAGTGTCACTTTCACCACAGTCCCTTGGTTGAAGCAGTCTCAAGGGCTGTGAAGACCAAGGGAAGGGGGTGTATGTATATATTGATATATATTCAACCTCTTGATGGTGGGTAGGTGATGAGAGATATTGTCCTGTCCATATTAGCAAATACAGTCTTCCACATGAGCATCAGGGGAGCGTGTCTTACTCCAAGGACACAGACTTGTTCAATCAGATTCATCATAAACAGCCAACACAGCCACCACATGGGCTGTGCTTGAATTCCCCAGGCAAGGAGACAGGGTCTGGAGATGTAGTTGTGGGATCTGGAGAAGCAGAGTTAGGAAGAGCGGGAACAATGGCTGCTCCACTCAGTAGCTCTGGTGGCATCCCAGGCAGGACCCTCATGTTACATCACATCTTACAGGTGTCTGAGGCCATGCCAGCATCCCCATTTTACAGAGCAGGAAACTGAGGCACCAAGTGTTTAGGTGACCTGCCCAGTTCTCACAGCGGGGAACCGTGGAGCCCCACTGAACAGCTTTGTCCTCCTGAACAGCAGGAAGTCGATGGGCTTGGAGAGGATGGACGTGTCTGGAGCTGGCTGGGCCCAGTGGGACAGTGCCAGGAGTGGGAGCTGCAGGCTGGCCAGCACATGGGGGTCCAGAAGGGCGTGGTGCAGGGCCAGGCTCCTCAGGAGGTCCAGGCTCGGACTCTGCAGGGCAGGGGTGGGGTGAATTTTGATGGAGTCGAGGGAACATGAACACCAGGGTGTCCACACGGACGCCGAGGCACCATGGATAGCATGGCTGTGACAGCACTGTCCCTGAGAGGAGGAAGGAGGGCAGGGGCGCAGGCAGGGCAGCACTGGCAAGTCAGACCACGAGGCCCCAGTGCCTCGTGGGGCCAGGAAGGCACTGTCCCACCTCTTACCTGCTGGGCTGCAAGGGAATGAGGCCCCCAGGAAAGCCAGGGCTTGGGCATGGCACGGAGCTGGTGGGAGCATGCTGGGAAAAGCAGGGCATGTGGGGGAGGGTGTCCGGTGGTGTCTCAGGGGTTCCCCAGGCCTCGGGATACTTTAGGCTGGGATACTGTTACCCAGGGAGGGGACCAACGTGAGCAGAAGCACGTCCAGGGCTTTCTGATACCGAGACCCTCCTGGACACACCAGCCCGCAAAGCGGGAAGAACGGACCGTGTCATTCCCATTTCACAGCAGGGAAATGGAGACCAGCACCGGGAACACACGCCCGAGGTTACACAGCAGTAAATACAGGAATCACACACACACACAAAAGCACTGAGCAGGTAACACGACTCTCTGGCCTCTCGGGATAGGACCCTCATCCCTGCCCTGTTCCCAGAGCTGGAGCCCCTGAGAGCAGGTCTCACTGGTCATGCTGTGTCCTAAATCCTCACCCTCCCGGCCCCCCAGCACCCGTGACCTCCCCAGGGCCGCAGAGCTTATCAACATGATGAATGTTCAGGTCACAGCGCCCTGAGGGACACGCATGGCTCCCTTGATCTTTTCGCCCAGGATGCGTCCCTGGGGGCCTGTGTGAAGACACAAGGCGCAGGAGATGACTAATCTGCCACCTCCACAGGTGGCAGGGCGAGGAGGTCAGGAAAAGCTGGAGAGCCACTCCAGACTGCGGAGGATGACAGGTGAACGCAGCCTGTGACTCTGAACTGGGTCCCCGGCCATAAAGGACATTATCGCGACAACCGAATGGGGCTGGGGCCTGGACGGTATTAAAGCGCCCGTGCTAATTCCCCAAGGGTGACAGCTGCATCGTGGCTGCAGAGGAGAAAGCATTTTTCCATGGGAATTACATGACATACGCAGGTATTCGGGAGTGCTGGGTCGTCGTGCCAGCAATTTAACCTTAAATGATTCTGGGGGAAAATGCTCTCTGTATACTGTTCCCGCAATTTTCTTTTTAAGTTTGAGATTGTTTCAAAATAAAAAGTAAAAAAAAAAAAAAAAGTAAAGCCCAGGGAGAGAAACAGCTTTCCCTACGATGAAACGTGCCGCGCTCTGTCCTAGCACAGGAGCCGACACTGGGACAAGCACGGCAGCGGCTATTAATAGCGCTGGCCGAGTACCAGGCGCAGCGCAGGCACCGCGCTCGGGCTCGCATTAGTCACCCCTGCAGGGGCTGGTGACAGGCACCAACCTACACTCCCTGAACACAGGGCAAAGGGACGGGGGGTGCAGGCCGAAGGAGCCTCCTCTCCCCTCACCTCTGGGCTGTGAGGCTCGGCGGAGGCCGAAGCCGGGCGGGCCCCATGGGTGGGCAGACATGGTCCCAGGGTCCCACTGTGACTTGTGACCGGAGGCACCTCCTCCCCAAGATTCCAGCAAGATTCCCAGGGACTCCAAATTGGACCTTGGCCTAACCAGTCTCTGCAGCCGGGGGAGCAAAGACACGCTGACCCACAGGGGCTGAGCCCTGGGTCCTGCTAAGACAGGGAGGGAAGGAGCGGGCGCCATGGTTGGGGGAGGGCTCTCCAGGCGTGTGCACCTGCCTGGCACCATCTGCCCCAGGCTGGTGCTCTCAGATCATCTCTGTCCTGGGACCCCAGCGCACAGGCTGGGGAGGGGGCTGGGGGTCTCTGCCTTTTGTCCCCAGACTGATTTCTCCTGAAGGCTCTATAAACGACAGTGGGGAGGGGTACTTAAACCAGAGCTACCTTGGATAGTTTCCCTTCCCTCTTAGTGCCCTCCTCGCCACCCGGCGGCTCCCATGCCGCCCCACCCCCTGCCTTGCTCGCAGTGGCCCCTGCTCAGGGCAGAGGCCTCGGGCATGAGACACACGTGCTGTCCCTGCCAGCTTGGGTTCTCGGCGGCCCCCGGAAGAGCAGCTCCTGGCGAAGCGGCGTCCATTTCCCTCTGTCAGGCTGATTTCTGTGAACAGATAATTCCTGCATTGGCATGGTAGACTTAGGTGTCTGTGTTTTACGGTTTTGCTTAAAGTGGGACATACCTATAAGTCGGCATACCCAACCCACATAGTTGTAAGACAAAATAGACATTTTTGTCTTAGAGTAATCGGCCCCTACAGGTGGATGCAGCACAAAACTGTGACAATTCATAGCCTTAACACTGGAAACTTGTCTAAAATGTTTGCCAGAGATCAGTGGAACATGTGGCCCATCCGCACCAGAGCCTCCTGGTTACTTACTGAAAATGCAAATCCCAGTCTCACCCATTGACTCAAAAGCTACAGAAAAGAATCCTGGAATCTATTTTTAACAGCCTCCCATCCTGGGGACTTGGGGACAGGAGCTTCAGATGAAGAATGGGAAATGATGATGAAGGCAGTACTGTTCAGAGGAGCCGTGTGTGTGTGTGTGTGTGTGTGTGTGTGTGTGTGAGAGAGAGAGAGAGAGAGACAGGGACAGGGACAGGGACAGGGACAGAGAGAGGTGAGTCTCTGAGGGTCTGATTACAAAGAAGCCAGCAGGTGATGGCGTCCTGCTGTCACATCTCAGCATCATCTCTTTGATCCATTATGACAACGCAGAAATGAAAACTCCCTTCTCTTCTTCCTAAAAACAGGCTTTTTTCTCTGTGCCCAGCAGAGGCGCCCCGAGCCACACCGGAGTGGGCGCTGGCCAGAGAAGCCTGTCCACTGCCGGCCGGGGGGAGCCCGGCTCCGGCCCAAGCCTGCGGACTGGCCCACGCTCTGTGCCCGTCACTGCAGCCTCAGAGGAGTGACCACAGCCCTCGTCTCCTTCCTCGGGACACGCATCAGTCCTGCCCTTTTCCCAGAGCAGATTCTTCTCGGTAAGCTCACAGCCACTTCATCTCGAAGACAAACACAAACAGAAGGAGCCCCGGCGTGTCTCTCACCAGCATGACGCACGATTTGTTTTCCGAGATTCCTTGTGGAAAATAGAGCTACGCTTGATCAGAAAAGTCACACTCCAAGGGGAGGATATTTTAACTCTCTCTTCTTCTCTCTTCCCTCCGCGCTGTCCGTCTTTGCATACGTGCACACGCTCGGCTGGAAAAGCTGCTCTGACCTGGGGACCAGCCAGCTTGCCAGGACACCAGGGCCACGAGGCCCCCCTGCTGCCTCCGCAGCCCGGGCGCTGCCCTGGCGGGGCGCAGTCGCGGTGGTCGCCACGCTGCGGGCTGTGAATGGTCGCGGGGGACTGTGGATCAGTACGTGTTCCAGGAACGACCCATAAACAAAGGAGCAATGTGCCTCCCACGCATAAATGATGCCATTTTCCAAAAAGACGTCGATGCTGCAGTGACAGGCCACTCCGCCCTGCACCTGCACCCGTGAGAGCTTCCAAGCACTGTTGTCTGGAAACTCGAAACAGTCGTGTCTGCGCCATTTTCTTGATGTTTAAGAAGAACCCTCATGAAGCAAAGGAGGAAGGACCGAGGACAGGTCGGGGCTCGCTGGTGAGGACCAGGGAGGGCTGAGAGCAGGACGGAATCCCCGGGTGAGGGGACCAGCTTGCAGCTTGACCCCAGCGATGGTGACGTGACTCTATGCAGGGGCCAAAAGCCACAGAGCCACACACCAGGAAGAGTGAGTTCTACTTTAACCATATTTAAAATACACTTTATTAAATTGACACACTTTAATAAATCAAAAAAATTAATTTTCATAAAAAGTTTAAAAAGAAATCCTCAAATGACGAAACTCTGATAGAGTTGGGGGGAAAGGTGAGTTCTGGTTTGGGCAGACCTGCCGTTTACCGGTTATGGGCTGTCGGTGACTGAATTAACCCCTCCCAGCTGCCCCACAAGCTTTTATAATAGAAGGAGTTAAGGCAAACCGCAGCAAGGCACCGCCTCACACTTGTTAGGGTGGCTATTTTTAAAAAGACAAAAAAAAAATAACTAATGTTGGCAAGAATGTGGAGAAAAGGGATCCCTTGCACAGTGTTGGTGCGAACCTAAATTAGCATAGCCATTATGGAAACCGGTGTGGAGGTGCCTAAGAAATTAAAATTAGAGCTACCATATGATCCAACAATCGCCCCACTGGGTGTAAATCCGAAGACAATGAAATCAGCATGTCGAGGAGATGCCCGCACTCCCCTGTTCATCGCGGCACTATTCCCAGCAGCCGAGACGCGAAATAACCTCGGTGTCCACGGACAGAGGGGTGGAAAAAGGAAGTGTGGTGTGTGCGCACAAAGGATACTATTCTGCCTTAAAAACGGGGGAAATCTTGTCATTGGCAGCAATGTGGATGAACCTGAGGACATGATGCTAAGTGAAATGAGCCGGTCACAGAAAGACTGATCCCACTTAAACGTAGAATCTAGAAAAGTTGAACTGGCAGAGTGGCGGTTACCAGGGGCTGGGACGGTACGGGAAAAGGATGGGAGAAGTTGGTCAGGGGATACAAAGTTTCAGTTGGATAAGACTAAGTAAGTTCTGGAAATCTATTGCACAGCAGGTTGATTATAGTGAATAATAATTCATTGCATACTTGAAAAATGCCAAGAGAGCAGATCTTAAATGTTGTCGCCCCCAAAAATAAGTATGTGATGGGCTGGATATGTCAGTTGTTTGACTTAATCATTTTGCAAAAGTACACATATAAGAAAACGCCATGTTTTGATAAAACCATAAACATACACAATTTCCATTCTTCACTCAGGCCTTAGTGAAACTGGGAGGACGACAGAAGGGGAGAGGCAGAGGCATGGACCTCCTGGGCCTCAGGCTGTGGGTGCAGCAGTCCCCACCTCACCGGCAGGCACAGGCACCACGCACGCCACACGGTGGCTGTGTGCCGGGTGCTTCCAGACGCCAGCCCCCGCTCTCCCACCAAAGCGCCCCAACTCTTTCTCAGGGATCCACCTCCTCAACGATCCCGCTCCATACCCACAAGTTCTAGGGGTGGACATCAATCCTATTGACTCGACCCTAGCCACCACAGTGGGGTCCCGGTCAGGGTCAACGAGCCAATGACAAGAGAGAGAAAAATATTTTCATTCAAAATTAAGTTGTCATTGGGATAATGCCGTTTTAAAAAAAGTATGAATGGATTTTACCTAAACTCAATGAAGTTGAGTGGATGTCTTTGAGATTTTAGGTGCATGAAAAAGAAGTCAATCCCAGTCTGGTATATGACCCTGCTTTTCTCAGCAGTATGTTTCTGAACTCTTCATAAAGTTGATCTTTTTTCCTCTTCCTTCCTTCTTTCCATTTGTTTATTGATCCAGGCATGGAGGACACAGCGGGAAGCAAGACAGGCTGGAGTCTGGCCCTCATGACTCACGTCGAAATGAGCAGTGGCGGAAACATTTCATTTAGTGCCAAGCACCAGGAGCAAAAGGAAGCAGGGTGACATGGGGACCACAACAGCTCCAAGGGCAGGATAGTCAGGACAGCTGCTCTGAGAGGGCGGATTTGCTGAGACTTCAGGGACAGCAGACAGACCCAGGGCAGAACATCCCAGGCAGAGGGAACGCGAGTACCTGCCAAGACTGCAGAAGAGCAACGGAGATGACTAAGACGCAGGGCTGCCCTGGAAGAACTTGCACCACAGATGGGAGAAAAGAGTCACGGCCATTTATGAGGACTTGCCCTGCACTAGGCTCCGTAAAAATGTGCTGTGCAAGAACGTAGTCTCCGATCCTGGGGCTAGGAGCTAAGATTCCTACTGCACAAGCCAGAGTATTCGGTCCAGCTCCCGAGACCACACTCCCAACCACAACACTGAGCACAAGAGCACAAGAGACTGTAACAGAGGACAAAATACAGACAGTGGCCTTGAGGAATGGAGAAGGGTCTGACAGAAAGGGGGTCAGGACTTCATTGGGGACAGATAACACCATGTGCCAGAGGCTGACCCACAAAATTGATGTCACCCCACTCTGTTGGCAGGAAGCCTCGTCCTTGGAGCCCTGAGCAAGCCACCAAGGAAGAAGCTCACCGCTGAGGCAGCCATGCTGTGAGGAAGCCCAGCTGCACAGCGGCCACATGCAGTGCCAGACATTGGAGTCAATAAATCTTCTGCTGACTCTGGAACCTTCCCAGCTGATGCACCACACATTGTGCTCTTTTCAAAGTCTTTGCCCTTAGAATCCATGAGCATAGTAAAATGTTTTACCAAGTTTGAGGGCTTTGTTGTGTAGCAGTAACTGAAAAACAATTATGTGCAAAAAAAGAAAAAAAAGCAAAGTTTCTGATGCCTCTGAAGCTCTACAGTAATTTCAAAGAGAGGAATTGTGCTCTGAGCTCCAGTCCCTGAGTCTGAGATGTCACTGGGACATTAGAAGCCACCACACCCTCCTTTGAAAGGTAAGGCTCAAGGGTGTCACTTTCTCAAAGACCAGCGGACCAGGGACTCTGAACGACAGCGTGGATCTCCCCCTCCCCCTCTCACCCTGGGGACACTTTCTGCCCTGCCACACCACCTCCATATAAAAGCCCCATAAACATGGAGCAAATGTACTGTAAACCTTGATGACACATAGAGAAATGCCCTGTAAAAAGGGACGTAAAAGCTTCAGCTTAACCAAGTAATAAATTTAACCTATCTCATTAATATGCTAACGAAGATAAACGTGAAACATGTATTAACCATGGCTTTGCTTGTCTTCTTTGTATTTTAAAGGCTTTCCAGGACGTGCACTGAGTCACTTGCATCTCTGCAAAAGCTTGGGGAACATGTGTACCAGCTCCTGCCTTACTCACCAGGCTTTGCACAGTAATCTCTGTGCTCTTGTCTCCCCTCTCCTCTTTTCCAACATCTTCAGAGGGGTCTTAGAGCTAAGAAATAAATAAACACATTTATTGTACAGGTTGGGCATTCCTAATGCAAAAATCTAGAATCCAAACTTTGAACTTTTGAATGATAAAAAGATGATACCACGGGTGGACAATTCCACACCTGACCTCATGGGACAGGTCACAGTCAAAACTTTTGTTTCACGCACAAAATTATTTAAAATGTTGTATAAAATTACTTTCAGGCTGTTTTAAAGTGTATATGAAACATAAATGCATTTTGTGTTTAAATTTGGATCTCATCCCCAAAATATCTCATTATGTAAATGGAATAACCCAAAATCTGAAAAAAATGGAAATCCCAAACACTTCTCGTCCCAACCATTTTTTTTGGATAAGGGATACTCAACCTGTATTTATACACACACATACACATACAGCTCATGCGTACATCAGCATGAATGTGTATGTGTATGTATGTGTGTGTGTGTGTACCAATTATAGAAAGGTTGGCCAAGGTCTTCTGGCTGCTCCCCCATCATGAGACCATCTTGACTCCAGGACTCCTTGGAGTTCATCCAGAGGAACCAGCTACTGAGTAGGAGACAGCATTTGGCACTTAGTGGCCGTGTGTGAAACTCCAGTGGATAGGACAAGCAAGAGGTTGGGGCAAAGCCCTTGAGCTGCTAAAATAAGCAAGAGTGCAGGCCCTGTGGCTCTCTGGAACCGCAGACAATCCAGAGTCAAGTGGGAATGCCACTGTTGGCAAATAACAGACTATAAATTATTCTACTTCTTGGAGAACCAATAAATCCCATTCTGTGTACATTTTATGCACCTAGATTCAATGATTCATGTTAGTTAAATGTTTAAAAAGAATGACCCAGAAAAATAGCCACATAAACAGGGCAGCCACTGCTACCCAAAACCCACTTATCGGGCTCTTGCCCCTGTGACTTCACCACCTGCCAACAGGCAGCAGGAAAAAGGTTCCAATCGTCCAGCCAGAATTTATATATACACAGAACCTGTTTTTAAAATATTTTACACAAAAGCTGTGAAATCAAAGGCTAATCAAAGTGTGTGGCCGTTTCCTGCCATGAGTCTGACCAGCAGCAGCGCAGAGCAGGAGGGACGAGGGTGCCAATGCTCTGCTGTGCTCTTCGTTTTCAGTCAAGCCTGGTCACAACCAATGGGCTCTGTGCGGAAGACCAGCCTCTCCAACGGCCTTTGTTCTTGAGGCCCTCGTCGGGGTGGGAAAAAAAAGGAAAAAGAAAATTCCATTCAATCACCATAACATGTCCCCACAAGAGCATAAAAATAAGTGATTGCTTATTTTAAACAACTGAACTCCCTACTGCTGCAGCAACTGGGAAATCTGATAAGGTGATAATGGAAACTGTGTCATGCATGAATATCCATTTTAAAAATACACTGATGTCACTCTTTACGTAAAGGTCAAAATTAATGTTATGTTGAAAGCATTTCTCAAAGCACAATTATCTTGACTCGTGAAGCGAACCGAATTCCTATTAGGTTTACAGTCTGGAGCGTGAGCCTCACGCATTTCGCCAGCAAGGCCTCACCAATCAAAGTGAAGGCTGAGTTAAAGAGATATCACCAGGACCTTACGTCCCTCGCGCTGGCTGCCTGTGTCTGCCCTCCTCGGTCACAGCTCATCCTCCAGGGAGAAGTAGGACGATGAGTCAGAAGACACTTGAGAAGCCGTCCTTCTCCTGGGCGTCCCACTGAGCCACCATATGCTCTTTGGCCTCTCAGTCACAGACAAGTCTCTTGCCACTGGTGGCGTCTTCAGGTGGGAGCCCCTGGCCCTGGGCACCGCCAGTCCCTCCATCACTGGAGCAGCAAGCGCCCCCCTGCACTCCCTGTCCACAGAAGGGGGACGGACATCGACAGGGCTCCAGAGACCAAGGAGAAGCCACCTCACGGTGCTTCTGCCCTGCCAACAGTCCCTTTGGTGGTGCCCAGAAGATAAACAGTCACCGCACGGCAGTGACCCAATGCTAGAGTTATCTAGGGCTGTGTAATGCCACAAACTTAGCAGCTTTAAACAGCACCCATGGATCATCACACAGTCCTGCAGCTCAGAAGCCCTGGAGGGCTGGGCTGGGGTCTCTGCCTGTGCTTGCTGGAGCTGAAACCTGGAGCCCCCAGGTGTGTTGCCCAGGGGCTCCAAGGACAGTCTGCTTTCTGCCCCTCCAGACTGTGCCAAAACTCAGTTCCTTGTGGTTCTGGGACTCAGGTTCTGTTTTCTTACTAACTATTGCCTAGTGACCCAGTCCACATCAAAGCCAGGAAGGGAGAACCTCCCTGTCGCCTTTGGATCCCCCTGACTTCTCCTTCCACCAGCCACTAGAGAACACTCTCTGCTCGAAAGGGCTCGTGTCATTAGTTTAGGCCCACTTGGATAATCTCCAGGCCAAACGATTAAGAACTGTCTCAGTTCATTTGTGCTGCTATAACAAAATACCTGAGACTAGTTAATTTATAAAGAGCAGTTCTGGACGCTGAGGAGTCCAAGATCAAGGTGCCAGAGTTTCGCCATCTGAGGAGGGCCTGGTCCCTGCTACATTTTACCACAGGAACTTTCTCCAGTGTTCAGGGACAGGGCACCGGAGACGACCTGAGCACTAATTGAAACTGTATCTCCAACATCCTCAGCCCTGTTTAGAAGGTGGGGGAAGAGAAGGACTCGCAGTGCAGTGGACATCTGTCATTACCGACTTGCCACTCGCCAAGTCGTGTACATGCCTCTCTTATTAGCATTGCTTCTCCAGGTGTGAATCGTGCCTTCCAACCTGGAGTCCCACGCCCCACTTTGTCCAGTGTCCCTTGTGTGCAGAGGGCAGACAAGCTGCTGAGGGCTCAGCCATCAGGATGCACCCACACAGCACTGTGACATGGGATGAGGTTGCCGTGGTAACCAGGGGCCCTGGCTTTGTGTGATCAATGCCCTGGGGGCCACAGACAGGGAGGGGCCTGCTCCAGGGCTGGGGGGCTCAGGAGGACCTCTAGGATGGCCCCTCTCCTGAGCCCGAGGGGCCCACCAACATGCCCTAAGGCTGAAATTTAGGCAGCTCTGAGGATGGCCTTGAAAACAGGAGGTACCCATTCACCTGACCCCATCCAGACCCTCCAGATGTGTTAGAAACTCCCCTTCCAATCAAAGGGCAGGTGTAGCTTGGTCAACTGAGCCAAGGACAACAGGAAAACTGCCCAGGGTCTAGCATCTGGGAGCCTGGATATAGCAGTCCAAGTCCCGGCTCCACCACCAATGCCATGAGGCTCCTGTGGTTGTCTCTGAACACGGCTGCGACTCAGTTTCTCCCTCTGCAGGGAAGAATCCACCTCCTGTGCCAGGTGATTTCGAGGCTTGAATAAAATAACTAAATTCACTTCAGCAAACATCTCTTGAGTGCCCTGGAGCTCACAGTCTATGGATACCAGAGGAAAGCAGAAAAATAATAGCTGAACACTGTGGTCAGTGTGACAGAGACAGGGTGTCGTGAGGGGCCAGAGGGACAGCTGGCCTCTGTCCGGGGAAGGCAGAACATGAATACATTGCAGAGAAGGACAGACAGTGGGAGGGCATTCTCAAATGTTTAGTCTGATGTCTGAGTTAAAGAAGCAGCAATGAAAACCAGAACAAACCCACTTGAGCAAAATGGGGAAACTGGAGCCTGCAGAGCTCTGGTGTCCCTGGAGTTGCCGCGGCTACAAACCAGAGGGGCACAGTTTGTCTGGAGATGCTCCAAACCCCAGGGGGAGCGGCATCATGGCCAGGTTCATGGAGGCCTGCCGGACGTTTCTTCTCTATTTGCTCAAGGAGAATGCCCTGCTCTGCGAAGAATCCAAGTTACCCCAGAGACAAAAGGTAAGTGACCCCAGAGAGAATGAATCAAGGTTGTTCCTGACGACTGTGGGTGATTTCATACAGATCAAAGACTGGTCTACACAGCAGGTTGGCAAATGCAAGCAAGGAGCCTCCACAGGGTCAGGTGGGAGCCTGGTCCTTAACCGTGTCCTTGGGCAGGAGGTGACCATGGTCCAGAATCCTGACAACCAGCAGGTCAACAACGTTCCTTCTGAATGCAGCAATCTCGGCTGTAAAAATGCTCGGCGTCCACCCCCGCTGTTTGTTTGTTTGTTTGTTTGTTTGTTTGTTTGTTTGTTTGTTTGTTTGTTTATGAATGCAGGAACGAACAATCAGGCCACTTGCTCCTGTCAGGCGGCCCCGGACCCCAATCTTCCACGAACACTTCACCCAACTCGACCCAGGAGCTTGGCAGCCGATGCCAAAGTCGCCTTCGCAGACAGCATCATGCTTAGGTCTTCCCTGAGCCCTCATGTGGACCACGTGGTGGGAAGGATGCTCTTCGTTCCTGCCAAGACCCGAACGGGGAAAACCGCTCTGAACGGTGTCACGGTGCGTTGGGTCTGCAAAGCGAAGCCAGTTGAGAAAATGAAATCCTTGTTACCCTTCTAATTTCTAAAATTCAAGTAAAATAACAAGGTGATGGTCCAAAAAGCATTATAGATTGTGAGATTCCCACCTTGAGAGAAGAGCAGCCAGAGACAAATTTCAGAAGCACAAAGTAGAAGAAAGTCGTCGGGGGTCTACACTACGAGTTGAGTGGAGTAGGAAAGGCTACACACAACACCCTTGGGGGCACTGCAGCCATGGTGGCCAGACATCGAGCTGGCTATCACATGGCCCAGGGTTCCAACCCCAGCTCTACCCCTTGCAAGCTGTGTGACCGTGGGCAAGTCACTTAACCTCTCTGTGTGCCAGTTTCCCTGTCATGAGATTGTTGGCAGGATTAAATGAGAAAATTCATGGAAAAACTCAGTATAATGATTGTCATTTAAAAGTCAGCAATTACTCTCCAGCAAACCTCTGCAAGTTCAGCAGGTTTCTCATTGTAAAAGCAATACTGTGTACATCAATGTACTCAATAAATACTCCTGAAATGGTGGGTACTGCTTGGATTATAAGAAACCATTGCATTTTATTTGAGCTAGTGAAGTAAGATGATCATGATGATTCTCTTTTTGAAATGATGAGCCCTTTTGTGATGTCTTTATATTCTCAAGTCTTTCAGCATTTTTCTAATATACCTGTTCTGGGGAAAATATAGAGAATTTTCTTCTTGTTGTGATTTTGGTAAAGTCTATAAGTGGTTAAATGCTCACTTAGATGAGAATTTTAGTTGATGGAATTTATTTTAGCCCCAGTTTTAGATGCATACCAATGGGACTCTTTTAAGGTAGAAGTTGCACTCGGCTTGCTGTGTTTTTGGAGTGCATTCGGAAATCAGTGGCAGATGAAACTTGTCTTAAGGAAAGAAACAGGGATGAAAAAGGTGAGCATTCTCCTGCTCCTCTTTACCAGTCAGGATCAGATGCACATCGCAGATGCACCCCTCTGGCCAGTGTGAGCAGGGAGGATCTGGTCCAGGGAATCAGGCGACGGCCAAGCCGCTGGCTGGCCTGGAGGAGCTGGCGGAAGATGGGCCTCCAGGAACGAGCCCAGGACGACGGCCTAGAGCTGCCCGCTGTGGACTCCGCCTTGGCCACAGTCAGCGAGTTAGGAATCTGGAGGCCACAGTCCCCAATGCTAGCTGTGGACCCATCCCTACACCATGATCCAACAAGAGCAGGTGGGCAGAGTCCAGTGGAGGAGGAGAAAGGAGCAGGGAAGGCAGGAGATGGGGCTAGGAACCCCTTTTAGGGAGAACTAGTCCCCCTAGCTGGATTCCTTGTAATATAAGGAACCTCGAAATTTTCAGTATTCATTTCCATTGGTGTCGTTCCTCTTTCTCCATTTCTTAACTAAATTCCTCTTTCTCCATTTCTTAACTAAGTTCCTCTTTCTCCATTTCTTTACAGCGAGCCGTGTAAAATTGCCATTTTTGTAAGTCAAGGACAAGAGAACACTGGCAATTTCATAGGGCTCAGGTCCCGCCATCATCCCCTCCAGGCTGGGGGCGGGATCCGGGCCGCGCAGGGGTCTCCCCACCCGGCCCTCCGCCTGCTCCGGATTCTGCTCCCCGAGACGCACCACGGCGTCCCTGGCACAGCTGGCATTCGGATTTCCAGTATTACTCTCAAGAAATGTTCATTGAACTGCTGAGTCTCCTCCTGTTCTTCCTCTTTCCTCCAATTAATCTATTCTGTTTTCTTAATACGTGACACAAAGTGTCCCCTGAGGAATTTTTCAGGAGCAGAAATGATTACAGCGATCTTCACCTGACAGGTGGCTTTATCTGTGGTTGTCCCTTTGTTTCTGTCCATTTGGGCTCAGATGGCCAAGGGGTTAGAACCTGGGTATGTTGTGTCCGGCACAGCACACACCGCAGGCCTACAGACCATGTGCCAACGTACCACGTGCCGACTTCAGCACCGCAAACTGGCAACAGACACGCCTTAACTCAGACTCCTTCAGTCTGCAAATGGCCTTGAAAAGCTCTTGAGGCAGCCACCGTTTGAGAAACAACCTTCTTCCTTGCTGGTAGAGCCATGATTTCATTTGGGTCCATATTACATCCTGGACTGCAGTGGTAACTTCTGATGGGCCACACTGATCTTGTGATCACACTGTCCTGGGGCTTAGCCTGTTCCTAACCAAGGGAACAGGACAGGATGTCTGCTGGGTGTCTAGGAATGGCCTCTGCCTCCTAAAATGTTACCACTGGGCAAGAACGTTCCTTTCCATCCTCCGGACATTGCCGGGTGTGGACGTGGTGGCTGCAGCCACGGAGGGGGTCTGCCCAGGGTTAAAGGCCGGTCGCTCCAGTGGCAGGTCAGAGAGACGTGGGGCCCTGACAGCACGGTCCAGCCCCAGGGCAAAGAAAGATTAACATAATCACTTTTCTTCCTGAAAGGGGACACAGTGGATTTTCCTTTGTTTTACCTTAAGAAAAATTAAGACATTTTAATTAGGACAAACTGGAAAAGCAAGAGGAAATGTAACCATTTAATGAGAATTTCTGGAACCTGAATACTAGCTTCCTTTTATGTAAGATAATAAATTCCCTTTCTTTTAAGCCAACTTGAATTAGTATTTTCAGTTATTTGCAGCCAAAGTCACCCTGATCGAGAGGGACCCAAGTCACCTGCCTGGTCAGGCAGAAGCCCCCTCAGAACAGCAGACAGTGAGCGGAGAGTCTCCTTTAGAAGTCCCTGTAAAACGGGACTCCACAGCCACCTTCAAAACTGCTTTCAATACCTGGTAAGCAACAGGAAGGGACTTGTCTTTACATGTAGCTCAACTCTGCCACTCAGGGCCAGTTTGTGCCCCAATGTCAAGTCCTTGCAGGTAAGCTCATGTACCCTCTTCCGGCTAATTCTCCTACGTCTCTGAAACCCATTTGATTCAAGCCATAAAACCCATCCTGGCTGCCAGCAAGATAGAACCTTCCTTTCCTAATCCAATAGGTTTGTGAAATAAAATAACTGACAGTTAAAGCTGTGGAACTTCATTTTGAGACTCGAGAGGAATGTGGCCGTGTGGCCTGAGTCTCCCAGCACCCAGCTGCAACTTCTGCTTTTTCCTAGAGATGACGGGGAAAGGCCTTGTAGTGCCAGAGATAAGACCCTCTCACATCATCCCCCCAGCAGAATGGTACAGCAATCTTCATGGGAACGTAACAAGTTGTAACCAACCCAATCGCTATATGTCATACATCCTGGCCTTGTAGGGAAAATGCTGCAATCTTGCTAGATTTCTCTCTTTCTCTCTATGAGTGAAACCTTAACTTCTCCACCTGGGAGCGCTGACCCCCCTTTGGAGTCTGTGTTTTCTGGGTGGCTATCCTCAAGCTTTGTGCTCAATTAAACTCAATACTTAAGCTTTATTTTCTGAATCTCATTACTTAAGGTTGACAAGCGGGTCCATTCTACTGCATTATTTGCTTTCTTTGTTTTCAAGGAATGCGCCTCTGCAAGTATCACACTTCATTGATCTAAGACTCCACTATTTTATACTGCTAAAAACAGAAGTCCTCTGCCAGGAGAGCTATGGCACGCCATCAACTCTAAGACATTATCCTGATCTTGGAGAAGTTAAAATGTATTTTTAAAATGTGTGCATCTTAGAATCATTGAAAAAAAATGGTATTTCTTCTTTGCACAGCAGCCCCAGAAATATCACAAAGGAAGAAAATCGATGCCGGCAGGCGTCCCAGTGGGCGAGGAAGCCTGTGTCTGTGCAGCAACCCGGGAAGCACACACACAGCCGAGGGAGAGGGCCCTGTGCTGGGGACCCCCTAGAATATCTTCTCTCCTGGATTCCAGAAGGAGATATACGGTGATTCCTACCACCTGACCCTTGTCATCTTCCTGAAGAAGCTGGGTCCTGCATTGGGGACTGTCTCATCTTTTTATCCACAGCCAGGTCCCGCTGCCCTCCAGCACTCTGCACAAGCCCCAGTTTGGAGGATGGGCCCCATCGGGGCCTCTTGGACACGGTGCTGCCTTTTTCCCCGCGTCTCTGAGTGTGAGGACATTTGAGAGCCGGTGTGCAGGGTGCTGGGTCAGCTTTACAGCGTGGCTGGCACTTTTGTGCTCCCTGTGCTTCCCCTCCTCTGAGACCCTCCCTGTGCCACCCACCCTTCCATGTGGCGTGTGTGTGCGCGTGTGCAAGATGGGCCAACAGCCCTGCCCCAGGAATTGCCGGGTTCTCTGGGTGACTGAAGCCATAAGAAGTGGCATGTGCAGGATTCACTGCTCAAGTTTCCTGCTACATGGAGAAAACTGGCTTCCGTGAGACAGAACAACAAAGCCAACACTAAACTAGAACGAGAAGATGCACGGGGAGGAAGAGGGCCCATGGGGTTTCCGTCTCTGGTTCTAGTTTTGTTTTATTCCAGGCCCTCACCAGACGTGGAACCTGCTGGCACCGTGATCTTGGCCTTCCCAGCCTTCAGACCATGACAAATAGACTTCTCTTGTTTATAAGCTACCCAGTCTGTGGTGCTCTGTTGCGGCAGCACAAAGGGACTAAGGTGTGACAGGCGAGAGTGACTCTCCCCTGTGGTGGAGAGCAGAGCTCTGCACGTCTGGGATGCAGGAAAGGGGAACATGGGACACCAATGTTGGGGACACCAGTGGCTCTCTCCCCACTCCTCCCACCCCAGCCCTCCCACTGACTTCTGGGACATATTTCAGTCCCACTTTGATTGCTCAAGCGTGAAATCAGAAAGGACGAAGCTAGAAAATCCCACCTCGACTGCCCTGGCTTCCTGTATTGCCGCAGAGCCCCGAGCTCCCACAGAGCCCCCTGGGGCCCCTGCTCCTCCTCGTCCTGCTCTGAATCACATGCCTTCAACTTCTTCTGCACTTCTAGGTCCCCACAAGTTCACCCATGACCCTGCGAAGCACGGAAACACGTGTTTCTAGGGAGGAGTGAAGAGGAAAGGGAACGGGAACAGAAGCTTCCATGCCAACAGGAGCGGGAGGAAGGGATTCCCCACATCACACACATTCGAGAAGCGCCTGCAACGTTCCTGGTGGGGCTAAGCCCTGAGACACCAAACCATTAAATCTGGCCATAGACTGCACGCCTGGTGACAGCAGCAGGAACCAACAGATGGCCACAGCACAGCCTGACAGATGTGTCCAGTCAGTGGTCACCTCCAAGAATAAGGGTGGAAATCAGGGTGGGGTGAAGCGCAGGGAAGGAAAACTGAGTTTCACTTATGAAACTTCTCTGTGTCATCAAGACAACAATGTCACATTGTCCTGGCACCCTAGGGACTCTCAGGTCTTCAGAATCTCCTGGAGGGCTAGTCAAAACACAGATTGCCAGATCTCAGTCCAGACCTTTCAAGCCAGCAGCTCTGGGGTGGCCCCAAGACTCTGCATTTCTGACAGGTTTCCCGGTGAAGCTGATGCTGCTGTTCCCAGGACCCCGCTCTGAGAGCCGCTGTGCCACACTGCACATTCAGACGCGCCACTCAGCGCAGCCTGCAATTATTTTTATGCACATGCTCTGTCACATGAGAGAATGGCCTCAATGCTGGGCACTGGGGGTGGGGTGTGTTCTGGGAGGGAACTTAGCATATACAAAGAATGAATATTTACTGAGCAGTTACCAAGTGCCTGCTGCACATTGTTGTACAGGGGCCACCTCTAAATCCTATGCCAATCCTGCGGGGTAGATGTCACCGTCCTCTTTTCGCAGAAGAAGGAACTGTGGCTCAGAGAGGTTAAGTAACTTAACCAAGCTCACACAGCTATCAGCGGGCACTGATACTGAACTGCAACTGAAATCCACATTCTGCCTTCCAAGCCTGTGTTCCCAGTCTCTACACCACACTCCCTGTGCAGAGAGAGGCGTTAAGGGAAGCCCTCAGCATCCTTGCCCCCGAGATTTCTCTAAGCTCTCTGACACCCACAGCCCAGGGAGAATTCACTGCTCTTCCTCTGGGGTGGCATTTCAGCTGCTAGGAGAGAGACGGTGCGTGATGATGGAGCCAGGCAGGGGAAGAAGATGATGAAGGCAGACAGATGACGGAGGGAGGCGAGGACCAGTCCAAGAAGGCAGGTTCCCCGTGCTCTGAAGGTGCAGTTCAGCCTCGCAGGACTTTCCCCATGGCCGCAGGACCAGACACACATTTGCAAGACTATCTTAGCCTGGGATTCTCCAAAAGTGGCGTCTGCACCAAGGGTGTGTGGAGCTGTGATCCCAGGAGCAGGAGTGAGGGGCAGGGGAGCGCGAGAGGGAAGGGGTGAAGTCCACACAGATGCCTCGTTGGGTTGGTTGCAGCTGAGGCCACTGTGGCTGGATCAGGGCAGAGCGAGAAGCCTCATGACCTCCCAAGGACACCCTCGGGAGTACGGAAGGGGGAGCATTTACCCATCAGCTCCCTTGGAGGGTGACTGCCCCACACCCCAGGGGCCTGGGGTATCTCACACGGAGGCTCACAAAGAAGGTGCAGGGAGGAGTGAAGAGAGGCCAGGCCGTGGCAAGTCCCACGAGGCCAGTGGAAGCCTGCGTGGGTGGTCATCGCAGCTGTGGCTGGAGTAAGAGAGAGGGCCGAGGGGGCCTGCAGGGCCCCAGAGTATCCAATCCAGAGATCTGTGTGGGCACAGAGTGTGGACATGGAGCAGAGAGAAGCCCAGGCGCTGCCTCTGCCCTGGCAGGCCTCTGAGTGCATGGGAGGGAAGGGGGACGGATGAGCACATGGGCAGATGGGCAGATGGACACACAGATGGACGGACTGCACTCCCATGGTCTTATTCTGGAAGCATCTAAGAGCGGCCATAGGTCAAAGAGGGGAGAACAACTGTTCTAACCACAGATGGGGTTTGAAAAATCAGACTTAAGATCTGTGTTTTTTACTTTATGTAAATTATACCTAAAAAAATAATAAATGTTGCTCTCTGCCCAGAAATAACTGCTTTCCTCTGCAGGCAAACACATTCCTAAAGCCCTTCAAATGTGCCTCCCAACAGGGCAGCAACGGAGACACAGGCCTGACGTTTCCCGAAGGAGCGTGGGGGGTGGGGGAGCTGTCACCTATGTCCTTGCAGAATCGGCCAAAGAGCCTTGTAGAGGGGACCAGCAAGGGATTTAGCACTGGGGGGCATGGGTAGTGGGGCTGCAGCCAGGTTTAATGAACTCAGGAGATGTTGAGGCAGGAGGATGTAGAACGGACAGAAGGACAAGCCATGGGGCAGGTAGGACCGGGAGGGTTATCGCCAGGGTGGGACGTGCTCCTTGCTGGTGAGAATGATCCAACGTGGCTGGTGTGGGGACCAAGACCAGCGGCCCCCTGAGGTTCACTGAGCGATCAACTCAATCGAGCAGGCAGATTAATAAGGGAAAGGGGCTACAAATGTATCTACCGTGCTCACGGGAGAATCACGGAGTGACTGCCCAGTACCCCAGTGCGGTCCAGAAGCTTTTAACCCTCTCGTGGTTACAGAATGAACAGGGCTGGGGTCCCGGAGAACAGGTTATGGGAGGAGGAGGAAGAAAAGAATTCTGCTGGGGCAATAAATGATTACCAGGAAGACTGGCTAGATCTGGGAGCAGAATTCAGCTTGTAAATAGTTTTCTGGGAATTAAAATGATCTGTGAAGACAGTTGTCATCTTGTAAAGGGGTCCCGCTGTGGTTACATTCTTGGTCTTCTTTCCCTAGTGAATGATAACAGGTAGGAGAACAAGGACGATTGTTGTCCCTGGTGGATCCGTCCAGGTCTCTAGGTAGTTAGGGGAAAAGTCTCTTCCAAAGCCTGCTGATCTCTAAGGATTTTATTTCAAAATACTCACTTTGTCAGGGAGCCATATTTTGGGGTGAAATTCCCTGCACTCCTTCAAAGGGACACCGGTGAGGCAGAAGGGACAGGGGACATGGGAGGAGCAAGGCCTTGGGGCTGCGGGCAGGAAGGCTGGGTGCCACTGCGGGGCGGGCAGGGCCGGGCGGTGCCCCGTCATCGGGAAGGAGGCAGCCGGGCAAGGGCATCCTCAGGAGGAAACTTAGACAACATAAGGGGTGCCACATCTATTGGAAGATGGGGGTCCCCAAATTCTCATCCTTCCCCGGCTTCCTCCTTGCCTCCTCCCGCAGATGCCTGTTGCGGGCCAGTCGCAGCTGCGGGGCCTGACGCGAGGTACAGGTGCGATACAGGAGGATGGCCACCTGCTTCCGAAAGGACCAGGGAGCAGACGGTAGAAGCGTAACCCCAGAGCGCTCTCTCCCCGCCCAGTGTCACAAGAGCCCGGCGGCTTCTTCCACGCGCAGGACTCCTGGATCACAGTCACATCCCCCAGGGCATCGGAGACAGCCCCTCCCCCACAAACAGGTCCCCGCTTTGGCTTTGTAGGCAACGTTTCTTGCTTCGAATTTCATAGGCAGTCCTGGCACAATGCTCAGAAGATACAAACAAGACAAGAAGACCACATCCTCTGTGTCCCTGTTCCGAGAGATTTTCTTCCCTGTGTGTGCACATGCCTGCTGCTGTGTGGTTTGCACCCACGCCTTGCTGTGAGCACACAGACGCCCTGGGCCCCAGCGTGTGAGTGTGCACCTCGCTGTCGCCCCTCCTCCTCCTCCTCTTAGGGCAGGCGCCCTGCCCTTCAGCACTGAGCTCCCAGATCCCTCCTGGGAGCAGGTGGGGACAGTCACACGTGTGGCTGTGGCTTGTGTTTTTCCCAGGTGCATCCTCAAACTTTGGCTTAATAAACCTCCATCAGGTGAGATCTTCGCCTCAGTTCTTATTTGGGAGTGTCAAAACGTATAATTGTCATAGCCCCCATTGCCAGTACAGAGCTCTGAAAACACTTGGAGTTTCCTAAGTGATGCGAGCAATAAAGGCAGGAGAAGCATCTTTCCTTCCTCCTGACAGGCCCCTTCAACCACACCTGAGTTTGTGTTAATGAGGTGACTTCCTGGTAGCCAGGGGAACCAGCCCTGTGGCTAGAGGGTTGGAGATTTCCGAGCCACCCCCCCCATTCCTGAACTGAGTGAGGCGGGGAGAGGAGGGGGCCGAGGTTGCGTTAAACTTAACAGCAAATGGCCTATGGTTTACTCAATCATTCCTATGTATTGGAGCCTCCAAACAAACTCAAAAACAGTGGGTTTGGAGAGCTTCAAGGTTGGTGAACGAGAATGTATGCATGTGCAAAGTGGGGGGAGCACCCCAAAACTCCACCGGAGCAGAAGGAGCTCCTGAGCTGGGGCCCCTTCTGGACCTCACACTATCACACTATGTGTCTCTTCATCTGGCTGTCCATTTGCACACTTTAGTATGGGAATCTAGTGTCCCAGTTCTGTGAGCCCTTCTAGCAAGTGACTGAACCTGAGCAGAAGGCTGTGGGTGTTAGGTTTGTTCCAGGTGGGAACCCAAAAAGTATATACAGGACAGAATGCAGTTAACGGAAAACTCAGTCTTGTAAAAGAATCGCTGCAGGAGTCTGGAGAGTCCCCGAACATTGTAAATCTAGCAGACAGTGCAGCCGGCATTCCTGCCCACCCCCGCAATAGGGACGAAGTTATCCCTCCCTATCACTCCTGGTAAGGACAATACTGAGCTGCAGGATGGATGTGACTGGGGCAGGGGTGTCTCTCTCAGCTCTGGACCTAACAGTGGGAATCTCCAATTTGTAGCCAGGTTGGACAGGGTCGTAAGCAACCTGAGGCCCCACCATCTGCAATCAACTGGCATCTAACTAGGGGACAGTCTGTGGGCCTGAGCCCTTAACCTGTGAGGTCTGCGCCAACTCCAGGCAGTTAGTTTCAGAATGGGGTAAAATTGTAGAACACCTGGCTGGTACTGGGCAATTGGTCAGTGTGGGGGAAAACCTACACATCTGGTGTCAGAAGTGAAGTATTGAGAGTAGCAGTACAGTACAATGGAAAAACTGAGTTTTTTTTTAATTCTCTACCTCATAAGGTAGTGATGGAGATTAAAAGAAATCATTTATGCAAAGTGCTTAGTGGGACTTAATTTCCATCAGGTAATAACAATGTAACTAGTTCTTCTTTGTTGGACACTTAACTTCTTTCCAACTTTGTATAAACAAGGATATAGCGAACAACTAATAACCAAGTCATTTTGCTCATTATAAAACATTTCCTGAAGGCACATTCCTTGAATTGGAAAACCTTCTAATGCAAGTTGCAAAATTGCCCTCTAGAAGGGGTCTTCCTAGTTAGGCCACATCCAGGAGGGCAAGAAGTGCCTGTTCCCCAAACCTGTGCAACACTGTGTGTGTGTGTGTGTGTGTGTGTGTGTGTGTGTGTGTGTGTGTGTGTGTGTTTGTGTGTTTATACTTGTTTATGAGGTTTTCTGATTGTTAATTTAAAAATACTATCTTATTGTTACCTCCATTTTTTTATTAACAGTGAATATTTTTCAATATGAACTGACCCTTTTTAAAATCTATACTTATGTATTACCTATTCATGTCTTTATTGCATTTATCTATCTGTGCTCATCTATTTTCTTTTTAACAGCCTTCTGGTACTCTTTATATACTACAGATATTAACCACTTTTAGGATAATCATGTAATTTATTGTCCAAGTGAGGACATTTTTGAGAGTAAATGTGTCCCAGTCAATAATTATGCAGGAAAATGGGCACCAAGCAGGACTCTCTGGAGCAAATCAGAGTTATAATCATTTAATAGCCTGCCCCTCTTTGCAAATGTTTTTTTCTATTTTGCCATTTGCCTTTCCATTTTAAGATGTTTTTGATGTGCATAGGTTTGAATATTTATGGAGTCAAATCTCTCTTAATAGCTTCTCCTTTTCATATTTTGCTTTTAAAATTTGCTTTGAAAACGCAAGATTTCAAAGTTTGCTTCCCAAACGCAAGATTACAAGACTCCTACCGCAGTGTTCCCAGTAGTCTCTTCCCATTGCTGAAGGGGCCCTCAGGTCATGTCTTAGGGTCCCAGACTCGGAGCCCACAGGGACCAGGCAAACGTCCTGGAAAGAGCAATGTCCTGTTTAGAGCCAGGTGGTGCTGTGCAGGAGGAGAAATCTCTCAGTGTCTGTGTTTAGCAACAAATTAAAGTTTTAAAAATAAATGAATAATTACTCTATAGACAAAAACCCGAGAACAAAATGCAGCAGCACAGAACACGCGCAAAGCAAATCGCGCCCATGGGCTGCTGCAGCGACCTCAGTGTTTGCTCCGTGGGAGGTTTCCCCGACCATCCCCGCCCGGCTGCTGTCTCCACATGGCACGTCCCTGTGCTATCAGGGGCCACTGCACGGATTTTCCTCTTTAGCGATTATATAAAACTTGGATTACTTGATTATAAATGGAGACCAGCCATGGGCTTCAGTAGGACAGTCTCTCAACACTCAGCCTGACAATTGGTTTAAGATCTAACGCGCGCTCTCTTCAGGCCAGCCCTGAGGTCAGGGCGTAGATAAGGAACCACATTTCTAACCAGCCAGAGCCACAGCGGCTGTGCTGGAGGAGGCTCCATGGATCTGATCTGTGGGACATACATGGATTACCTTCCCAATACCAGCAGTGGCACTGTGGTATCACAGGCAGGGCAGCTGGTCAGAGCACATTAGGAGCAGTGGGCTCTCCTACCCAACTGTCTAAACCAGGAGTGGGAGCCACGGCCATCGCCATGTTGGTCCCCTGCTCTGGCCAACTGAGCCTGCAGCTGTGCCACATGCTGGCCGTGCCTGTTGAGCCAGGTGCTCTCCTGCACAGCAAGCTCTGGGTCAGCGGAAGTGGCTGGGAGGGAACTGAGAGGTGTTCTCTGAGACATCATTCAAGCCGAGTACACCAGCAGCGCAGGAGGATCTCCCTGCTCACGCCATGACCCAAGCTAATTACCCAAGGTTTCCACAAGGGGAGCCATTGATTTACTGTCCACTGCCTCAAGCCAGTGTCTTAGACAAACACTAGAGCCTAGGAACAGGGAGAGCTTATTCTGTGAACACGTGCAGGGGATGCCTCACAGCTCATGGAAACCCTAACCTTACTCTTCCACCGAATTCATGGCAGGGAGCAATACATGGTGCATCTCCTCCTGGTGGTTCAAACCCCAGCCTGGTCTCTCCTACAGGGACCACAGGTCTCTGGGGTCTTCCCAGCCATGGCCACACCAGGCTCTGCTCCTACCAGAACTTCCTGCCACGGTGCAGGGGACCACAGTCCTCCCCATGGCTGGGTTCACCTCGTCCCTGCTCAGGGAGCTGCGGGGAGTTGGGGAGTCAGGCTACCGACTCTCCACTCAGAAACCTCTCACCTCTTCTTGTCAATGGTATCTTTGTCGTACTTAACACCCAGAGCAGAGCAGTTTTTAAAACCCACCTCTTCTATTTGATAAAATTATTTTCCATAATAAGCATTACTACAGAGCTGCAGAAATAAAGACAGTACAGTACTGGCACAGGAAATTATATAGATCAACAAAACAAAATATATGGAAATAGAAATAGAATAGATCAATAAATAGATCAACAAATAGAATAGATCAACAATAGAACAAAATATATAGAAATAGAAATAGACCACATATATATGACTGATTGATTTTTTTTTACAAAGGTGCCAAGGTAATCCAATCGGGCAAGGGTGGTCTCTTCAACAAACATCGCTGGAACAAGTGGACAATCGCGTGCACAGAATAAGCTTCAACCCATACCTTGCACCATATACAAAAATTAACCCAAAATGAATCAGAAACCCAAATGGAGAAGCCAAAGCTACAAAACTTCCATAAGAAAACATAAGATTTTTGTGACCCTGGGTTGGGAGGCAAGTTGTTAGCTAGGACACCAAAAAACAAAGCTCATACAAGAAAAATTGATAGATTGGATTTCATCAAAATTATAACCTTTTGTTTCTTTTCAAAAAGAACAAAATCAAAAGTTGGAATGATTCTTATAATGCTGGTGAGCAAAACAGGTAGCTAAATCTAGCTCAGCCTCTATAGATAAAGAGTTCTCCAACTAACTGCCATGTAGAAAACATTATTTTCATTAAATCAAAATCCACAGACTAGGAGAAAATATTTGCTGATTAAAGGACTGCATCTCGATGAAGAACTTGTATCTCAAATAAATAAAGAGCTCTCAAAATGCAATAATAAAAAACAACCCAACTTAAAGAGATTGGAAAAGATTTGAACAGACACTTCACTTAAGGAGAGATACAGATAGCATAAACATAAATAAGCAAATGAAAAGATGCTCAACATCATGAGGCATTAGGGAAATGCAAATGAGCTGCCACTCCACACTCCGTGAGAATGACTGAAATTACGAACACTGACTAGGAGGGGTGCTGGGAACGTGAGGAGCAGCTGGAACTTCTGTAAGTGGCTGGCGGGAATGCAGGTAGTGCAACATTTTGGAAAGGAATTTGGCAGTTTCTTATCAAGTTAAGCAAATATTAACCCTATAACCCAGCCTTGGGACTCGTAGGTACTCACCCTAGAGAAATCACCCAACTGTACACCTAAAAAAGGTGAGTTTTACTTTGTGCAAATTATACCTCAATAAACTTGACTTTAAAAGTAAATAATTATGTAATAATCAGTAATAATAATTATTTTCTTTCATTAGATTTAAAATAATTAATAATTTTAGTGGAAGCAGAAATTTCTGCTGTAAAGATAGTTTTCAAATCCAGCAAAATATTTCATGTGAGAACTAAAATTTGCTCTCACCGAAAACAAAACAAAACAAAAAAATCTCAAAAATCATTGCCTGTTTCACTCTTTTAAATTTTAAGCATAGCTTAGTTAGAGATCCAAGTGGTCACAGGGAATGACAGAATTAGAGTAACTCACGTTCTGTTGATGGTTTTTACAAACACTTTGTGATCAAGAACCAACAGTTTAAATGCAGGAATACAGAGGATGACGGTCTAAAGACAACAACTGCAAAAGCACATATGGAACAGGCTGGAACGGTTCTGAATGCCGGTGAGCAAAACATGTAGCTAAATCTAGGTCTGCCTCTGTAGATAAAGAGTCCTCCAACTAACTGCTATGTGGAAAGCAATGTTTATTGAAGGATAAGTAATAAATATCTGCTAATTTGAAGCATATGTATGAATAGATATACACAGCCAAAAGCATAACATAGATACATGTATAACATTGTTATATATGATATATGTGTATAATTGAAACTCCACAATAATCAAAGCGATCGTTTAGAACATAGACCAATCGGAGTTTTTTTTTCAGGAAGCGATATTTAATCTCCAACAGTGTTTAATATTGCCTGTGCACAGCCATGATAAAAAGAAGACAGATGTCAGAAGTTTTATTCTTGTAAAATTCTCTGCAGACAAGGCCCCTCGCTGCCTGCACAGAAGGTCCCCCTTTGTGCACCTGTGTTAGTTTCACTGTGGCCCAGAGTGGGCACCGTCCTTCCCCCACCGAGACCTCGGGTCCCAGCTTGTTCAACCTTTCCTGCTTCTGCCAAGAATCCTCCCCTCGTCCCGGCACTGACACGCCCTCTCTCTGTGCCACCCGCCCGAGGGACCTGTGGAGCAAGACCAAGTCACAGAGCCCTCAGAGTCCTTCCGAGGTACCCTGTCACCGCCGGGCGGCAGTCCCGGAGTGCCCACTGGCGAGGTGGCACCCCAGGAACGGACCTCTCTGGGGACGGGATTTTAGAAGCCAACAGGACTCCCGTGGGTGGTCCGCCCAGACAGGGACCCTCAGAACCTCTCAGTGCCACAGACACCCATCTGTTAACCCGACCCGGTGGCTGTCACCTGTTAGCTCTGAAGGCCCAAGGCAAGAAGTCAGAAAACTACTCTAGTCACCGCATCCTTCAGATAAGACACGGGCCCTTCGGCTGACCGCATCGCATCTCTAGGCCTCAGTTTCCTCATCTGTAAAATGAGGGGAGCAGACCAGAAAGCCTTTACAAGTCTTTCCTGCCCCGGCATTAAATGTCTTGTCATGTCTGTCACTGAGTTAACTAAGGCGAGACCACTGCCACCAAGCGAAACACAGGGAACTTGTCCTCCAGCTAACTTACCCGCTACCATCGCAAGTGATTGTTTCTACTCCACTGAGTGAAGGGCCCGACCGCCTGGGGTTCTACACTCGTGGCAATTTGAGACATAGCACACGACAGAGTAGAGCTCAGTTTCTAGGGGAAAAGATGCTTGAGATTGTTATGCTAATGAAATAAAACATCACAGGAAATGAACTGGGGCTGGGTGAGGTGGCTCACGCCTGTAATCCTAGCACTCTGGGAGGCCAAGGCGGGTGGATTTCTCAAGGTCAGGAGTTCGAAACCAGCCTGAGCAAGAGCGAGACCCCATCTCCACTATAAATAGAAGAAATTAACTGGCCAACTAATATATATAGAAAAAATTAGCCGGGCATGGTGGCGCATACCTGTAGTCCCAGCTACTCGGGAGGCTGAGGCAGGAGGATTGCTTGAGCCCAGGAGATTGAGGTTGCTGTGAGCTAGGCTGACACCACGGCGCTCACTCTAGCCTGGGCAACAAAGTGAGACTCTGTCTCAAAAAAAAAAAGAAAAGAAAATGAACTGGGAAGAGCGCCGAAGCACGTTCCGCGTGGCTCTCTGGCACTACCGATACCTCGGTGCTGGGGCAGGTTCCTCTCCACCTGTTCCCTCCCTGAATCTGGCTTTTAAATACCTGCCAGGCAAGTACCAGGAAGACCCCTGACTGCCAACGGGGCCAGCTGTCACAGAGAGATCCCTGCCCACCCCGCTCTCGGCTGAGCAACCTGCTCAACTCGGGGGACAGGGAGTGAGTGACCGGTGACCGGTCCCAGCATGGGTGGGGTCCTGGCCTTCTTGGTAGGGGGTGTCTGTCATTACCACTCCCTCACCTTCCGCAGAAGGAGGAGGAATGTGCCCCCACCACAGGGGCTGGGAAGAGGCCCCGCCGCGCTGGGCCCGGAGTCCCTTGCGCAGGTTTCAGGGACAGGAGAAGCTGAGGCGAGTGGACGAGGCAGAGGCCATGTGGGGGCGGGTGGGGAGATCCCAGAAAACACAGCCCCGGCCCCAGACCAGAG